CTACAAGATTGTCACCAGACTCCATCTCCCTGACCACCTTCCTCTGATCAAGCCATAAACTGTCCCTCTCCGTTTTTGGACGATGCATGCACTCAAAGACTTGGCCTCTATTGGTTGACCTAGCCAACTGTTGCTAGGCTACTGATGATGTATTGGTTGACCTAGCCAACTGTTGCTAGGCTACTGATGATGTATTGGTTGACCTAGCCAACTGTTGCTAGGCTACTGATGATGTATTGCTTGTTTGTTTTTTGCTTTTAATGTGCTTGTAGATTGTTATGAAAAGCGCTATAGAAACGTGATCAAATGTATTATACCAAAGATGGATTATTTTGTTTAGCCTACTACATCTATACTGAACAAAAACATAAACGCAACATGCAACAATTTCAACGATTTTACTGAGTTACAGCTCATATAAGGAAATCAGTAAATTGAAATAAAATAATAATTTAAGGATTTCACGACTGGGCAGGAGCGCAACCTTGGGTGGCTCCCACTGGGGAGCCAGGCCCAGCCAATCAGAATTTGGTGGATTATAATTCATATAATTTCTTTGTAGGGGTTGATACATTTTTGTCACGCCCTGGCTCTAGGGACTCTTTTATGTTGAGCCAGGGTGTGTAGAGTCTATGTTTTGTGCTCTTTGTTTTCCATTCTAGGTCTTGTATTTCTATGTTGGCCAGAGTGGTTCCCAATCAGAGGCAACGAGTGTCAGCTGTTGCTGGTTGTCTCTGATTGGGAACCATATTTAAACAGTCTGTTTTCCCTCAGTGTTTGTGGGATCTTGTTCCGTGTTCCTAGTAGGTTGTGTTTGAGCTAAGGACGTCACGTTATCGTTTTGTTGTTTTGTTCGTGTTATCTTTCAGATTAAATAAATATGTTTCCATTCAACGCTGCGCATTGGTCCTCTGTTCCCGACGATCGTGACAGAAGATCCCACCAAAACTGGGCCAAGCAGCGTGTCCAGGAGCCATCGCCAGGGGAATCGCTAGCGGATCTCCGTGGCAACCTCGACTGGGTCAAGCCTAGTGAAGAGCAGAGAGGGTGGACTTGGGAGCAGTGGAGGAAGAGTCTCGACTGGGTCAAGCCATGTGAGGAGGAGAGAGGCTGGAGTTGGAAGCAGAAGAGCGAGAGTTGGGCGAGAACTATAGAGGCTTGGCCCACGGGGAGGAGAGACCCCCAGACATTTTTTATGGGGGGGCTCACGCCGTGGACGACGGGGCAGCAGGAGGCCGCGATGGAGCGGTCCAGCGGGTTTGCAGAGGAGGCCGCCAGGTTAAGGGGGCCACTGGTCACAGAGGAGAGGGAAAGTGTGGAGGCACGGCGAGAGGTACTGGGGTGTGTTACCAGTCCGGTCCGGCCCGTTCCTGATCCCTGCATAGGGCCAGTGGTGTGTGTCCCCAGTACGGTCCGGCCTGTTCCTGCTCCCCGCACCAAGCCTATGGTGCGCGTCGCCAGCCCGGTCCGGCCTGTTCCTGCTCCCCGCACCAAGCCGATGGTGCGCGTCGCCAGTCCGGCCCGGTCTGTTCCTGCTCCCCGCACCAAGCCTATGATGCGCGTCGCCAGCCCGGTCCGGCCTGTTCCTGCTCCCCGCACCAAGCCGATGGTGCGCGTCCCCAGTCCGGCCCGGTCTGTTCCTGCTCCCCGCACCAAGTCAGTGGTGCGCGTCGCCAGCCCGGCCCGGTCCATTCCTGCTCTTGGTGCGCTTCGTCAGCCCGGCTCGGCCTGTTCCTGCTCCCCACACCAAGCCAGTGGTGTGCGTCGTCAGTCCGACACGGCCCGTGCCTGTTCCACCGGTGCCTGGTCCGGTACCGGTCAGCTGCTCCACGTCGGAGCTAGAGCAATCCGCTCCACCAGTGTTCAGTCCAGCTCCGGCCAGCAGGGCCAGACCGGACCAGGGGTACTGTGGGGGGTTAGAGAGGGAGTGGGGATCATGCCCAGAGCCGGATCCGCCGCCAAGGCGGAGTGCCCACCCGGTCCCTCCCCTGTGGTGTTCTGTTGGCGCGGTCGGAGTCCGCGCCTTTGGGGGGGTGGGTACTGTCACGCCCTGGCTCTAGGGACTCTTTTATGTTGAGCCAGGGTGTGTAGAGTCTATGTTTTGTGCTCTTTGTTTTCCATTCTAGGTCTTGTATTTCTATGTTGGCCAGAGTGGTTCCCAATCAGAGGCAACGAGTGTCAGCTGTTGCTGGTTGTCTCTGATTGGGAACCATATTTAAACAGTCTGTTTTCCCTCAGTGTTTGTGGGATCTTGTTCCGTGTTCCTAGTAGGTTGTGTTTGAGCTAAGGACGTCACGTTATCGTTTTGTTGTTTTGTTGGTGTTATCTTTCAGATTAAATAAATATGTTTGCATTCAACGCTGTGCATTGGTCCTCTGTTCCCAACGATCGTGACAATTTTTCATTTGGGCAAATCGTTAGTGTATTGTATTCCATTTTATATTTATTTCTGCACTGTCTCTGTGCACACTCACAGGACTCTATACACACACACACACACTGACATCCAACACACACACACACACACACACACACTTACACTCCAACACACACACACACACACTCACTTCATTTGCTCACACACACATAACATGCACACACATTTATACTAACACTACATACACGCACACACACACACAATGTACTGAGTAAAGGGTCTGAATACTTATGTAAATGTCATATTTCCGTTTTTTTATTTTTAATAAATTAGCAACTATAAAAAAAAAAAAACTGTTTTTACTTCGTCATTATGGGGTGTTGTGTGTAGATTGATGAGGGGATTTTTTAAAATACATTTTAGAATAATGCTGCAACGTAACAAAATGTGGGAAAAGTCAAGGTGTCTGAATACTTTCCGATGGTACTGTACGCTGCTGCTACTCTGTATATCATATATCCTGATGCCTAGTCACCTCTCAGCAACAAAATAATATGATCAAATTAGGATCCTACATTTGCATAGGCTACACAGTGATTCAAACCTTATCAAAACATATAGGCCTATGGGCTAGGCTACATGATGCATGAGACTATGATTTGAAAAAGTCTCCAAAAAAGGCATGCGTTGATTCTTACCTTAGACTGTACACCCTGGGCATCATTCACAAGTGATAATATTCTCACCCATCACACTGTATCTCAATTTACTCTTGTCTTTACGTATACTAAATAATATAGGTGTGAAATTAGTTTCGATTTAGAATAAGGGCCATTATCATGCACAGGGGCAGCGGGAAAAAATACATATCATCCGTAGGACTATGCACTTGAATAGAGGATGCTTTTCCTGCGGATCATTTTCATGCCAGCCAGGTAGGCTACTATTAGCAATGTGCTTAATATTAGAAAAGATGAGGAATAAATATAGTAGGCCTAGCCTATAGAAAGCTGATGGGATCCTCCTCTTTTTAATAGAGGCCATCAAAACTCTGTTTTCTCAGGCAGTTGCATAGCATAGCCTATAGAAAGCTGATGGGATCCTCCTCTTTTTAATAGAGGCCATCAAAACTCTGTTTTCTCAGGCAGTTGCATAGCATAGCCCATAGAAATGTTGCGCAACATGAGCTTTCAGGAGATGGCAAAGTTGAAATATCTTAACTCTGACGGCAAATCCGTCTACCATGGCGGCTGACGTCATTCACCTTCGTTCTCTCAATGAAAATAATGACATCCGGTTTGACGTCTAGCTCATGCCGTCTAAACGCAGCAGAACAGCACTACTCCTTATTGTTATTTATCTGTCACTATATATTTACTCCTAACTATATATTTACTCCAAATATATTTACTCCTCACTATATATTTACTCCTCATATATTTACTTCTCACTATATATTTACTTCTCACTATATATTTACTCCTAACTATATATTTACTCCTCACTATATATTTACTCCTCATATACTTAAATAATAATAATAATATGCCATTTAGCAGACGCTTTTATCCAAAGCGACTTACAGTCATGCGTGCATACATTATTATTTTTTTGTGTATGGGTGGTCCCGGGGATCGAACCCACTACCTTGGCGTTACAAGCGCCGTGCTCTACCAGCTGAGCTACAGAGGACCACATATTTACTTCTCACTATATATTTATTCCTCACTATATATACAGTATAATATGGAAGAGGACCCGTCAGCATTTCACTGGTAGTCTACACCTGTTGTTTACTAAGCATGTGCCAAATTAAATTAGATTAGATTTGATTTGATTTTAAGAGGGAGAGAAGGAGAGGTTCCCACCGTGGTGAAGCAAACAGTGGAATGTGCCTGTTTTCATTTTAGCGTACGATGAGGGACAAACACACACACACACACACACACCACACACACACACACACACACACACTCACACACTCACACACTCACACACTCACACACACTGACTGGGTGATGAAGGAATCATGGGTAGGGGGTCTGACAGTGCTGTCAGACTGTCGGACACAATGCTAACTCTTACACCATGAAAAGATGTAATCTTTATTGGAATGTTTTAGTTTATATAGACGTATTTCATTCTGACACATTACATAACTATAGGTATTAACAAAGTAGTATGGTGAATGTATAGCAGGAAATGAATGTTTTCAAACAGAATGGACATTCCCCTGTTGAAATGAATATCAACAAGCCTTAAATCACGATATGAGTAAGTGTCAGTTCATATTTGTCCATCATGTGTTTCTTGGTGGTTTCTATTTGGACATCATGTGTTTCTTGGTGTTTCTCTCTGGTCTCAGGAGGATGATGAAACACTTTGGAGCAAACAGACAGAACAGCAGCCCAAAGCTGGAAGCTAAGATGGCGAATATCTCCACAGCTACAGTGTACTTCCCAGGAGAGCTGACGTAGGCTGGGATGAAGGAGATCCACACGGCACAGAAGATCAGCATGCTGAAGGTGATGAACTTGGCCTCGTTGAAGTTGTCAGGGAGTTTCCTGGCCAGGAAGGCTAAGAGGAGACAGAGGGAGGCCAGCAAGCCGATGTAGCCCAGCACCAGAGAGAAACCGACCACAGAGCCCACTTCACACTCCAGGACCACCCTCGGCCCCCGACCCTCTCTGCCGCCCCTCTCAGCCGGCCGGGGTGGAGCTAGGGACAGCCACAGCACACAGATCAGCACCTGTGGAAGGGAAAGGAGTAGGAAGGAAAAAGCAAGCACAGTTACCATGACAACATATAATATGGCCAGTGAAGGAAATAATTCAATTCCAATAGAATATAGTAAAAACTAGATGTTCACCTGGATGAGTGTGCAGAGGGAAATACCCATCCTCTGCTGGGCGGGGCTGAAGTATCTCATCAGGTTCTCTCCAGGCAGAGTGGCCCTGAAGGCCACCAGCACCACCACAGTCCTGCTGAGCAGACAGGAGATAGAAAACACAAAGCTTATACCAAACAGGGTGTGTCTCAGCATGCACGTCCACGGCTTTGGTCGGCCAATGAAAACCAGCGCACACAGGAAGCAGAGCTTGAGTGACAACAGGAGCAGGAAGCTGAGCTCAGAGTTGTTGGCTTTCACCTGGAACGAGATATAGAATGATAATTTAGACCGAGTGATAAATCATCAATCTCATCCTTATATGACACAATCTCCTCTCTGTCCAGGACCTCTATATATAATCATATGATTCAACTCACCAGGGCCGTGTGACGGTGGTAGAGGAAGGTGGCCAGGGCGCTGGATGTGAGCGATGCCCCTGAAACTGAGATGACGGACAGGATGATGCCCATGGTGTCGCTGTAGGAGAGGAAGTCCACCAGCTGGGGGACGCAGGCCGTACGATCAGGGTTGGACCAGAACCGCTCTGGACACCTGCTACATTCAACTGACCCTGACGAGAGAAGGAAGAGAAATCAAGAGTCTGAATCAGGACCGGTCAGGATCAGGACCAGACAGGATCAGGACCAGTCAGGATCAGGACCAGTCAGGATCAGGACCAGTCAGGATCAGGACCAGTCAGAATCAGGACCAGTCAGGATCAGGACCAGTCAGGATCAGGACCAGTCAGGATCAGGACCAGTCAGGAATGAGGCAAAATATGAATTGGAATGAGAAAAGTTGATAGACCACCTGTTGTGTTGCTGATCTCTCCCTCAGCACAGGACACACAGTCGAAGCAGCACACAGGCCTCCCCTTCTGCACCACATGCCTGGTACCAGGGGGACAGGCAGCACTGCATATAGACACAGGGACCTGCCAGAGGGTGGGGAGACGCAGTCACCATCATCATCATCATCATCATCATCATGATCATCATCATTATTACACACACACACAGGCAGGCTCGCTATGTGAGGAATCTGACCACACAAATATCTCACATTCAGTAGCATGTTGATGACAGATCTTTCTGTCTGAGCTAACATTCTCCTGTTATGTGGTATTTTTGGCCGTCTTTCTCTTTGCTGTATGTCTGCCTCAGGGTGAGAAACTAAACAAGTCTCTCTCTCACACACACATACACACGCATGCACATACACATGCACATACACACACACGCACACACACACACACACTCCTCTCTGCCTCAGAGAAACCAAGCTAAATGATTCTCACCTCATCTCCGCTGCCCCCACCCCACACCACTTTCTCCATATTGATGTGAAACTGGTCGTCCGCTCCCACTGAAGACAGAAAATGGCCGACCTGGACAAACTCTGCTGTCCCCTTAGGGGTCACATGCCAGTTGATGATGTCATAAGAGCCAGGCGGATCACCATTCATGTCGAAGTGGAACGAATCCCCCACAGGAGTACTGAAGTTCACTCCCCTCAGATAATGAACAATCTCAAAGAAAAAATGAAATTGAAACAGGATTAAGAGTTAGAAACAATTGTCTTTAGGACTCAAACCTTACAAAGTGTTTCCACTGTATCGTCACTGGAAATATTAGTGTTGTTAACTTGAAAACAGATCCACATGGTATTGTCACCTGGCTGGGCTGAAGCTTCCAGATATCAGGGCACTGTCCACCATTAAAGGGTCCCTCCCCTGGTCGACAGGCCAACATGTCCTGTATGGCATGGGCGATGGCGTATACAGCCTTGTACACATTATAGGTGGCTCTCAGCTGAGACACGTCAGCATACTGGCTCTCCCCCTCACCTAGGATTTACACTTTATTTTACCAAGAAAACATCGGGAATGGATCAGGACACAAAAACAGAGCATTAGTTGTAAACTCTCCCTCACCTATGACCTCTGTACCAGTACACTGTCTCCTGGACGACTGGGTCATGCTGAGGTCAACCCCCAGAGAACACCCAAACATCTCCTCCCACAATTCCCTCAGGAATGGGTCGGACTTCTGGTAGTCCCCATCAGGACGGAGGCGTGTTAGGAAAGGCCCCAGGCTGGGAATTATAGCTTTTTTCAGGGCAAATCCGATGGTGCCGGAAAGAGATGGCAGGTTTTTAGGGGAGGAGAGAGTAGAGTAGGTTACCCAGGCCTCTGAGGCGATCCACTGCCTATCTGTTATGTTCTGACGGACAACCTCTTCCAACAGGGCCTGGAGAATGACGTGGTTAAAAAGATCAAGATAGTCAAGTTGAAATACATGATTATCAATTTGAAAATACTTGTGTCAATAAAGGGCATCAAGACATGGTAGGACAAAAACACTCTGCTACAGCTGTGTAATAAAATAATTAACAATACTCTGACCAGTAACTGCTTACCCGTGCATCCTGTGCGATAGCAAATGTCACGACCACTCTGGCAGTAGATCCTCTGATGGTGTCCACGATGTGCCTGATCCGTCTCTGAGATGGTACCTTGGGGATGACCATCAGTGAGAGAGAGAGGGAAGAGAGTCAGAGGAAATCAGAGAGAGAGTTTGTATTTTAGATTAGAAGAGAGGGGGAGGCAGATTAAAAGAGAGAGAGAAAGAGAGAGTCTATTGTCAGATCGTCAGAGTGAGGTCGTACCTTGGGGATGACCTCCGAGTAGGCGACACACACCCCAGACCCCTGGAGCTCTTGGAGAAGCATCTGAACCCCAAACTTGCCATAGTCATCATCCCCAGACACCAGCCCCACCCACACCCAGCCCAGCAGACGCAGCAGCCTGGCCATGCCCCGAGCCTGGAAGGCATCGCTGGGTATCGTACGGAAGAACGACGGGTACCTCCAGGTGTCACTCAAACACGCACAGGAGGCATAATAGCTCACCTTGGAAAGAACAGAGAGAGAGAGTCAGGGAGAATTCTC